TTCCATCAGGGGAATCAACTGTTAACCTTGCTTTAGTGTGGTCTCTTATGTAACAAATTAGATGCCACTTTTTCTTTGATGACTTTAAGAGGCCAGAAAATAGGTTATCACTGCATGATGAAACATACAGCAGAGTCATTTCTTTGGGCTAAGACAACTTCATGGCTAAAATAGTCAAAGCTTATCCAGGCACAAGAATTTCCCCACAAAATTTATGTTTTATTCAACAAGGTAATATTTCAATTTAGAATATTTCCCAGAAAACCATGAGATTGGGAGTCTTGTCGTGAGACCGTGAGAAAAGTTAAAAAATCGTGAGACTCAGGGCAGAATTGTGAGAGTTGGCAGGTCTGCCTCATATGACATTTTCTATCGAAACCTGTATGTAGTAGGAAGAAACTTTGTATCAAGTGGGCACTACAGCACTCTCTGAGGTGTCCCCTTACCTGGTGTAATTATTATTATAGATACATAGTGTTGAGGGAAGTGTTTGGTTTCCTTTTTCTTAACACCGAAAAATAATTGACTTACATTGTGCCGGTGTCACAGTGATATGTGTATCCCCATACACATTTCCCTAGTGATATGTGTATCCCTCCAATATGGCTGCCAGTGAAATGTGTATCCCCTACCCTTATTTCTGTTGTTTCTGTGAATTTTGCGAATCATCGTCAAAGGGACTACAAATTATTCAAGATTACGAGCAACACAATCGACAAAAGAGCAACGATTCGAGACAAAATAATCGCAAAGCTGTCTCTGGCGAGTTTACTTCTTCGTGGGCCGCAATGTTGATGTAAACATTCGTTCTCGCTCCTCTCCTTATCCAACGTGATTATAATTCATGTGTCACTAGTCTCTTTAAACAAGTATGACTGACAAAATTTCATTCAGCAAGGGATAACTCGAAAAGTCAAGAAATAGAGAGGGGATACACATATCTCTGTGCTGGTCCGGTGATATGTGTATCGCCCCGTGCAAGTACCATAATAATCCACCTTTTAAGCTGTTTGATTCCTGTAAACCTAGTTGTATTACTAGTTGTTCTGATGGATTATATGGACGATATTTCCTTTAGCAAGAGAAGAAAAAACAGGGGATACACATATCTCTGCACCGGGTCAGTGATATGTGTATCCCTTCTGCGACCGCCACAATATTCCACCTTTGCATGTTGTTTGATTCCTGTTTTAACCCTAGTTGTGTTACTGGTTATGTTAGATGACATCGACGACATTCCTTTAGCAAGAGAAGATATTTCCTTATTGTGTCGTGGATAAGCATCAGTGTTTATTGTATCCCCACCCGGGATACACATATCACTAGGGATATGTGTATGGGGATACACATATCACGGGGATACACATATCACTGTGACACCGGGGTAACCGAGTCGAGGTCATCTGTTTATATCAATATTAAGCGCACTCGAATGGACTGATCATTTTTACTGCTAATTTCTCCCATTAAACATCAAGGACAATGTTTTCCACTATTGCTGACCTACCCTTCTGCCAAGTTTCGAATTTCCACACCAAACCGATTTTCTAAAACATGCGATGTTAATATGCGATCATGCAAATTACTGCGACAAATATTCCACTTGAAAAAATTGGCTTAAACTGTTTACGAGGTAATTATCAACAGAATATAATACAATTAACTCTCCTTATCGGAAAGAGCTGTTGCAACTATACTTTCCCTCTATCAGAAACTACTTTAAAATTTACTTATCCCGAAAAGACAGCTTGAATAGGTGGTACTATTGGCATTATTGGAGATAACAGCAAAGTAATGAATACAATTGCATCAGTTCTCGCTCTACCTTAGCGGCTACGCTGGCACACTCGAATGGACTGATCATTTTTCCGGCAAGTTTATCTCAATTAACTTCAGAGACGATGCTTTCCAATAGAAGTAACCCACCCTTATGCCAAGTTTCGATGTTCAACACCTCACCGATTTCGAGAAAATGCGATATTACTGTGCGAACATGCAAACTTTTGCGGCACATTATTGCACCCGAGGAAATTGACCGAAACTGTTTACAGCTCTCATACGCGTTATTTTTCGGATTAATACACATTTCAATCACCTTCTCGGAAAGAGATGTTGGAACTGCACTATCCTACCGTGACAAAAACCATTTTGGAGCGTCAATATCGAGGAAAACCAACTTTAAAAGTAGCATTTGGAAATGTCAACGGCGCCATTTTCGAAAACTCCTCGAAGTTGCGCGCTTCTCTCTTCGTGACGTCACGATGGCCAAGATCGTCAGGACAAACAAACTACCTAGCTTTGCCTATCCTTTTTTTTTTCTTTTGAACTCTTTTTTGAATGTTGAATGAATTTTGATAACTCGTTTGCTGAGCATGGTCAGCACCGGCTCCCCCTTCCATCTTTAAGCTTGCTAGACTTGGCTTACAGGCTGCTCAGGTGATCTTTGATATCTTGCTCTTCCTTCTTAACTTGAACTTAACTCCCTATTAAACGACCGGTCCCTTGGCTAATTTTGAAGAATAAGAAAATACAGTTACTTTTGCTGTATTTGTGTTCCTCTCCGCATTTTGAAGTAATTAATTTTGTGATCCTGTTTAAGTGTAGACAAGAGAGGATAAAGGGGACAGAGAAGGCATCCCCCATACACACCCTATTCCATAGGGAATTCGTCTCGAGTTATTTTTAAGACCACAGATCCCAAGGGGATTAGACAACAGCCGATCACATAGCGCGAATGTGTTCCGCGTGGATGACCCACGCTGAGAGCCACGCGTCCTTCACGAATTGACGCTGAAAAAAATGGCGGAAGACGCGGAGAGCGATATTGCTATTCGTTTTGTCGGCGAAAACGACTAAAGCGGTGTCAGCGAAATGGAAATTAAAAAAGAATCGACCTTCCTCTCTTGTATAGAGCAAACAGTACAGCAGGGAAATCCTTAACACACTGAATATTCTCTCAGGATCATTTATAATTTTCAGTTTGAAGAGAGCGATGTCTGGTTTGATACTTATTCTTTTATTAGTCTTTTATTATTCAACAAAAATAACACTTGGCGTCCTACTTGCTTTATTGTAAAAAAGACCGGTTTCAATAGACCGGCGAAATTTCTAATTTTATTAAAGCACTGGGGTTACGAAAACTTCGAGTTGAACTGATTTCACGGGTTGTCAAAGAGTCTAGCGATTCCCTTTTCCCAGGTGAGCGCCGACTCATTTCGCGTCAATATTCAGGAATGCTTTTGATCTCTTTACGCTTTCATTGCCTTTCGCCTGACATGTTTTGCACGACGTTTAGTCATGCGAAACCTCCACGAAACATCCACGCAGCGCGCAAAGGTAACTTTATCCGGATTCTAAAAATAACTCGAGACGAATTACCTATGGAATAGGGTGTGTATGGGGGATGCCTTCTCTGTCCCCTTTATCCTTTCTTGGTGTAGACTACGAGCAGTCTCTCTTTTTTCTTGGTCCGTCTAGCAAAACGCGCTAGATACGCCGCAAATGACAACGCGCGTGACTTAAGGCGCAAGACGGGCCGGAGGCTGCCGCCCTCGTTTCTCGGCTTGATGCTCGCGCACGTGCCCTCCCCCGTCTAAGTCTGAAGAAAAAGAGATACTGCTCGCAGTCTAGTCTAAGTAAGTCCATTATCTGGGGAGTCGGGGGGCACTCAAGAAAAGTTTGGGTAGAAGTTTGCCTCCTAGGCCGTCAAACCTTAACCTCGTTTAAAACATATCACCATTTCGTGTATCTGTTTAAGACAAGAGACCTGTTTTCGCGACTCTGATTCATTTTGTTTTGCGGACAAATTTCAATAGTCTTTCAAACTAACGTCATGGAGTTATATTTTTTTGGAAAAAAACTGAAAGTACCACACATGTAGACCGCTCAGGATTCCGGTCTAAAAAGACACCCTGTTCAAGACACCAATTGCTGGTTTTCGGTGTCACGTCATCCAAAATAGATCAAAATAAAAATCAATATCATTCGACAGATAAAGTCCAGAATCTGGGAAATGAAAGGAGGTAAATATACAAAGACCCTCGCGAAGATTTGGGTCGAAGGAATAATTCGTAAACGAGATATCCGAGGAAATGTTTTACCCAAATTTATAGAGCTTTGTATAGAGACGCCATGCTGGAGCTCATCCGGATGAGCTCCAACATGGCGGACGGAAACCAACAGAAACATCTGTTACCGAGTTTTGCTACAAAAGCTTGAATTTACTCCTAGAGGAACTCATAAACATTAAAGTAATACTTTTTCTAATACTTAAATTGATTAGATAGCAAAATTCTTCGAAAAAAGTCACTTTTTTAACCTAAATGTCAGCTCTCTCGGTCGTCGTAAATGCTGCGTCAAGCAAAAGCTTAGAAGTTCAAGCGTACGTTATTACAAAACCGAGAACCCTTTTGAAGCGAAAATTTGTTTGAAAATTAGTTTTCAGCTGCTCTAATGCACCATGAAAGAAAAATCTCAGTAGGATCGATAGTTTTGTAGTTTGAATTTTAGTGACATCATGTGAAAACCAACAATTCAGGGGCACCCAACGAGAATGTAGTTCAAAACCACTTAAACATAGCATTGTTGAACATATTTTAGTATTTAAACGGTAGATATAGGCATATTTTTATCCCCTAAAAATTTTTAATCTGTTCGGATTTCCTAGCTGAAAGTCTAGTGATCCGAAAATTATAGGGATCAAAACTTACCTTTTCGAAAATTTCAGCTAGAAAAAAGGCTCCCGAAAATTCTAGGTGACCTTTTTAGGGTAAAAATCCGTTAGAAATGGGCAGTTATACCATTTCGTAGATGTTGGAAAATCCTGGGAGAGGCAGGCAAGCAAGAAATTTTACAACAAATCTTTCGAAAATTTTAGATCTCAAATCGTCTTCCGAACAGATATTTTTACGAAAATTGTCGTTGGGTGCCCCTGACAATTGGTGAATCGAAATTGCGTAATCTGTGAGAGACGTAAGACCCGTAAACCACACGCTGTTGAGGGGCGCCCTTTCACATATTATAGGTTTTATCACACACATGTATGGATACTAAAAATTATCAATCTTCATTCAGGGACGACTTGGGTACAGGAAATCGTCTGGCAAATCTACAATAAAGGAACTGTCAGCAGTGTTAAGCAAGCATTTCGATTCCCATTTCTTGAAATGACTGCCACTCACGAAAAGCTTGTAGAGCTCATTGATCTTAAAACTCTGCCAAGCCCTCGCCTGATAAAGTCCCACCTTACCTACAGCACTACTCCAAGAAGTGCAAATAAAGATGATCAGTGTAAATACATCTACATTGCCCGCAACCCAAAGGATGTAGCAGTGTCATATTTTCATTTTACGGAGTATTTGAACATGTTTGGCACTGATTACAATGGACCATGGGAATTTTTCGCGAAGTTATTCATAGAGGGAAATGGTAAGTTTTATTATATGTATGCAGTCATTATGTAAATATACTGCAGGAGGAGAGAGGATGTTTTTTAATGTGCATTATTTGTCATATTCGTGATTACAGAATTTTAAGACATCTCCCACTTGACTAAAAGGAAAAATAACAACCATCCTTCTTGATTACGAAAGTGAAGTAACGTAACGGCAATATAACATAACCATCAATGGTCAAGAGATACGTTTAATATAGAGGAATGAAAAAAATGGAAACAGGTCATACGTACGTGGTAGTATTGTTATCGTAAAAGAAGTTTTGAAGCCGAGTTACTAGTTACTCATTCTGCATACCGTATTTATTCGAATAAGCGCCCAACCTCGAATTAGCGCCCACCTCGAATAAGCGCCCATGCTAAAGGCAGAAAAAGTTAATAAGAGCCCAGCCTCGAATAAGCGCCCACCCCACCCCACTCCCTCCCACAATAACTCCAATAAGAGATAATAAGACACCCTTTCGAAGACGGAGTTTTCTTCAGAGTATTTTACAGAAACCTTGCTTCGCTACATCTTCACTTTTTGTTGCTACCATTTACTGTTTTGTTGCAAAATATACTACTACACTTGCTGAGAATGGTGAAAATTTAATAAGCGCCCAGCCTCGAATAAACGCCCACCTCGAATAAGCGCCCACTCTCAAGGTCCAAAAATTTAATAAGCGCCCATGGCGGTTAATCGAATAAATACGGTAAGTCTTTACTCATGAATTCACCTGACAAAATGTTGACCAATCTGACACTAGATTGGTCTTGCGGAGTTATTAAGCTAAAGGCTAAGCGTTAGAATTTATTTTTAACGTTTTTCCGTCCGTAAGCAAAACACAAAAACTTAAAGAATTCTACTGAAGCAATTAGTTGGTGGCCTCCAAACTAGTTAATTTTACGAAAGGTGCATGTCTGGGACTCTCTTCCTCTCCCTTGAAAAGCCTCCTCTCCCCCAGAGTCTGTACGGACGGGCGTACCCTGACTTCATAACCAAATTTTCGCGCATCGATAGGTTTCCAGTTTCTATGACAATGGACCGGAAGCTCCGGCACTAACATATCCATATAAAGCACACCGTAATAGATCCCATTCACGATACCCGGGATCTTTGCACGCGCTTTGGGATTGTTGGATAAAACATGTCACGTGATATTTCAGGGGGGAAACAAGTGTTAAAATTTGTCGATATGATTAATTGTGGTCGAGTTTGTTTATTTTCTTAAAACGATACTACAAATTTTAGACGTGCAAAATGTACAGTCGAGTTTCGACAAGTTTTGCTCTCTGTAAAAACATTTACAGTCGCCACTACATTAAAAAAAATGACAACGATCAATCCCACCCATAATTTGCCATTATGGCCTTTTAAGATGAAACGTTCTGTATTTTCTGTTGTCTTGAATAGACAAATTTGACCACGATTTCTTGTATTTGCAGATTTTGTCACTTGTTTACCCCCAGAAGAACCACTTAACATTGTTTTTATCCTATCAGTCCTTTAAAAGTGCGAGCAAAGATAGCGGGTATCGTGAGTAAGGTCTGTTGCTTACTATTTTGTTTTGAGTAGTTGAATATAACCTTTGGAATGACCATGTTCTTGACTGGTGGAAACACAGAGATGATCCCAATGTCTTGTTCCTCAAATATGAAGATTTACACAAGGTAAACTAAAGGCAAAGATTGATCTGGGTTATTCAGCGTAAAACAGAGTGAGATCTGGGTACAAGATTAAACGATGCTTAAGCCGTGTTCAGAAGCCGAACTCTTTATGAGCCGAACCTAATACATTGAGTTAAGTTCATGAAAAGTTCGGCGTCTGAGTCAATTAGGAACGCCTATTTCAATTTGGAACGGCTCAGTCATTCTTCCTGCCTAGCCCGGCCGGGAAGTTCGACTTTGGAACGACTTTGGAAAGCTTTGATTCAGACGCCGAACTTTTCTTGTACCTAACCTAACCTAATGCAAGCAGTTTGACCAAAATGAGCATTTTTCTCCTTTTGAATTTAGTTCCAGGCCCCCCAAAAAATGCAGGTGATGAAATTCCCCGAGAAATGAATACTGTTGAAAACTGAACCCAAAATTTGCCAAGTGGGGAGCACTTTTGGGGTTACCCATACGTTCTGCCAAGAGAGAATGAGCTAGATCATTCCCTCTTGGTTCTGCCGGAGATCTCAAACTGTAGAATGCGTATTCAAAATGTATTCCCCCAGGAGAATGGTTATAAAAGCCGGCAAACACCAAAGTTGAAACCAACGGTTCTGTAGTTTATGTTGAAAACTCCTTGACCCTGCACAATCCTTTGTTTTTTGTTCACCAATTGTGACTGCATAAATTAACGCGATGTTTCTCTTACTCAGTAAAATCAAAATGATAGGAATGCTATTGAACATTGTGCACGGTCAGGTCCAAAAAAGCTATCAACTACAAGATATAACAAAGGAGTCTAACGGGTTTCATAACCATTCCACTTTAATAACTATATGACCTAGGGAAAAACTAATTTGGTGCACTGAGGACTTGTTTGATAAATAGGTACTTAAATCTACAACGGTACGGTACTGAATTAATATTAATTTCTCCTAGGATCTACCTTCTCATGTTCAAATTATTGCTGATTTCTTGAACAAGCCCTTGTCAGATGAACTCCTCAGTCGCATCGCCAAGCAGTGCACCCTCAAGGGCATGCAGGAAAATATGACAAGTTACACAGTCGACGACAAAGAAACTACTTCAGCTTTGTTACGAAAGGGCGTGGTCGGAGATTGGAAGAACTACTTCACTCCAGAGCTGAATGAGAGATTTGATAATGAGGTGTTGTCAAAACTGAAAGGAACCGGATTAGAGTTTGACTTCCACATGTAAACGACCAAACAGTACGTACGAGGGTTAAAACCAACTACACTTACGTGTTTTCTATCCTTTTATTTTGTTACATTCAAACAACAGACCAGTTGTATAATTAAAAAAAAACTATGAATAATAAATAAAGTTCATAGATAATAATGTACTTTCTTGTGATACAAATTTTTTATCCAAAGTCAAACTCCTTGGCTGAAATGTTTATCATAATGCGACTGTAACCCATTATAAGAATTAACCTGCTTGATCTTGTTTAGCTGACAGGTTTTTTATTTTTGAGGATAAAAAAGGCAAATTTCTGCCAGCAGGAGTTTTAAATCACTAGGTGCTTCTTTACTATATCTGAACTCCTGGAGCGGACTGACAGTCCAGTCTAAACGTCAAGTCCTCGATAATGATAGGAGTACCTCAAAGTTCTTAACGTTATGATGCTATATAGGTCCATAAAACATTCAGAGTCAGTACATCATAAGATCACAATCAAAAGGAAAAATGGGCTATTAAAAAAATTAATTGGTTTATAAGTTAATATATAACCTCCCTGGTAAAAGAAAAACGACCCGCAAGCGTAAAGAAACCCAAATGAACAATTCCTGTTTATCTCTCTCCCACGACGTACGATATCCTACAACCACTTCGTGTGCGACAATCTTAGTGAATTAAATGCTACACGGGGACAATAGCTTTCCGGAAGATCAACATGCAACATATGATCTTGATAGCTTCGTGTTGTCTACACAAAACGGGCTAGAGAGACACACAGAACACTGTCAACCCTTTCCAATATATATTAGGATTTTCACTTGACCAAAGACTTTCGTTTCCGGTTTTCTGCTGGTTAGGTGATCGCTTTAGCTAGCTCGCGAGCGTCCCTCGCGACTTCGGCGCTCACCTAACCTGCCATCAGGCGGTCCTAATCTTCCCTGACTTTTCTCCTTTCCACGAAAGAAAAAAAAACGCCTGATCGCAGCTTAGCGCTAATATCATCAGGTCATCTCAGGGAAGGGGGGGGGAGGTGCGCACCCCCTGCACCCTCCCTCTAGATCCGCCTCTGAAGCCATCTCTAGCTAGATATGTTACACACCTTCTTTTTGTAAATTTTCTAACAAAAGCAGGAAGTACCGGAAAGTACTTGAAACTGGTGTCCAAAGCCATTGAAAAGGCTGTGGCAGTACAGTTAACAGCTTTAATATGTTTCTTAACTCACCCCCTACACTAATGATTCCAGTAAGCTTACAAGCTCTATCACTCCACTGAGACTTTTCTTGTCAGAGTGGAGAATGAAATTCTTTGTGCCATTGACAGTAACCATTCAGTGATTCTTTTATTGTTAGATCTTTCTGCGGCTTTCGATACTGAAGATCATTCTATTCTGTTATCTGTACAAAAAAACACAGTGCTTTTAATCCTGACAAGTTCACAATAGGCAGTTACATTTTGTCATTTTTTCCTCTTGAGGTAGTGTCTATAATGCCCACTTTACGGTTGCGTGGGTTTGGTTTAAATGGCCTGCTGCGCCGGATTTATAGCTTTTCCTTGTTTCATTTTTGTCTAGTTTTTACGTGTTTTATGATGATATTTTAAACTTCAAAACTTTTGCCGTTCAAGTCAATAACAAAGTAATTTAGTTTATTATTTTTAATTATTAATCCAGGTAACCCTTTTGCTAGTTTTGTCGGTTGTTATGAACCAACGGTTATTGGGGTAAATGACTTTTCCTTAAGATTATTATATATTAAGCTAATATTTCATTCAAGTGATCATTATTTCTTTACAACGCAACTCGCGGATGCTTTTTATTGTAACATAACTTTCAACTCGCTTGGCTAGCGGGAAAGGAGCTCGTCACTATTCCAAGGTACTGGGATCTGCTACAACTGGAAACAGGACAGGACTCAAACTTGGACTTCAACAGTTTAATCTTCAGCTCGTGAACGTAAATCGTACAGTCAAGTAAATCCGCAGTGTAAATCGTACAAGCATATAACTCCGCAATGTAAATCGAAAAACAGGAATAACAATGCTCTATTTATACTAACCGATCAACTTATTACAACATCACAAAACAAATGGAAAGAAGGCTCAATAAAATCAGCTGGTAAGCGAAAACAAATCTGGATAAATTCAGTTTTTAAAGTTCATATGTTAAACTAAATAACTCAAAATTAAATGTCAGTTAATCAAGTGAATTTAGGAAATTTACCATTACACAGAAAGCTGTGTAAAAGAATTCTAGTTTCCTTTGCTCAGGATTCCCTAAAATGTCAAAACTAAAAACTACGAACTGTTGGTATTAAAACAGGCGAAAAGTCTAGTTATTCAGTGACTAAGCTGTATATCTATTCAGAAACAGATTATCCTTTTAAAAGTAAACATTGAAGTAAAATGTGTATAACTTAAGGGAACTAAAACAACTCAATGCAAATTCAATGTAAATTACGGCTAACACAACTTCAAAGGAAATATTTAAAAGCTAGATATAAAATTCGAATCAAATAAAGAATACATGGGAAATCTCTCCTTACACTTCTTCCTAATGTTCTTCCAATTATATATCAACAACAATGACAAAAAAAAAAAAGAAAAAACAAGTAAAACCTGAACACTCACTTACAATATCAAAATGAGATGGTTTTGTTAGCGCGTACTAACTTTGAGAAGCAACTGAGAGAAACACATTCAACGATTTTTATCTTGGTTTCCCAGTGTATCGTTTATTTCTAACAGAAAGGTTTATATGCTTCAGTTTAATGTATAATGGTCAGTTATTTTCTTTTGTTTATCCTCAAAAAAACTAACAGGATCTAGAGTTTAGTTAAGTTAGCTTTTGTTTGACGCCAAGGTAAATTAACCCAAATAAGTTTCTTTTTACTGCACCAAAATATATCCCATTGTCTTAATATGCTTTTCGGCATTATCTGGAAAATGTTTAGCCTCGTTTCCACATGAGCTGTTATTATCAGGATATCCTCCAGTACCAAATCCAATTCTAGAGTCACAAGTTCTGCAATCGTTTTCGTAGTTACCAATGATACCGATTCTTGCTTTGGAATAATCAGGACTATCACTAACAGCTGCATTAAATCCTTCCTTGTTACAGTTGAGCTGCAAGGAGGCCTCAGAACCAATCAGTGACTTCCACGTGTCACGACCCAATGAGGTGTAGCGGTATTGCCCATCAGCGATCAGAGAGTACAAGGAGTTCGCCTGCTTGTTGATGACAATAAACCTGATCTGGTTGTTGATCTTCATACCGAGGCAGATCTTGGAGAAGGATGTGTTCCAGTAGGAGGGCAGTTTAGTCTCTTGTGAGTCAAACCCAGTCTTCCCTCCGTCAAGGTTAAAGGTTTCTTTGTTGCTCCAAAAGGCTGTTTCGTAATAAAATGTTTGCTATGGTAGAAAGGGGGAAGAAATAGGAAATATGTCCTTTAAAAAGAAAAGTTAAAATTAAGGTTTCTTTTTCCTTCTAAAGACAACATCCTTACCGGAGAAGAAGAAAAAAAGATTTTGCAATGAAAGATCCATTACAATAAAAAAAACATAAGCAACGTCCTTGCTTCTCCAGCTTTATAAAATGAAATTAGCCACAGCTGGCGAAATGGCGTTGAATGGTCACCGATAGAATACAAAGTAAACAAATACTGCACTCTTTAATCATTGATGCGATTGAAATGAAGGCCGAATTGAAAATAATTATCTTTAACTCTCGCGTATTGGCAAGTACAGAGACCACAGGCTTCTGTGTTTTGATGAAAACCTTGACATCGTCTGACAGAAAGGGCGGATGACCTCTGGTACTGACCGAGATATTCCAGAAGCTTAAAGGTGTTCTTAATACTCAAATCTTTCAGATCCAGGGACTTAGCATGCACGCACGAGAAGAAAAGTTAGAGCGCCCAAGGCGCTTCAAACTCGGAGTCTGGGTTTATACTCCCCCAGAAAATTTGCAATTTTACGTCATTAGTATGGAATCTCTGTCGCTGAAGTGCAGACTTTCCTCCTGATGAAACGTTCCTAGCGATGAGGAGCAGGGAGAAACGGCTGTATTCGCAAGCTAGGATAATTGAAAATTACCGCCGACAGAGGCAAACCTGTATTTAATTATTTAAAACACATTTTTTCCACTCTCGTCGCCAAACTAAGGGAAAACGTACACAAATGTATTACCTTGTTGCCGTCCATCTTCATGACCGGTGTCCATCCTCCATCTCCGCATCCGAAATTTCCAAAGTGACAGAGAACTGAAACTAGTTTGGAGTCAAGGAGGAGCGTTACCAATTGAGTCACGTTGAACCTGAACAAAATGAAATCTCATTTTAATTTTTCCAGCTTTTACAAAAATAAATGAATTGAATTCAGTAGAGTCTCAGTCAAATCTAAATTCTTCAGGTTCCCCATATGTTAGTGGGAGTTAGTACACGATAATGTACTTTAGACTGATATAATTTCATCTCCAGCACAGGTTGATATTCATTTTTGCTTTATGATGATACCAAGCTGCGCTGCTCTTCAACTAACTTTAATAAAGTGTATTTGAATAAAGTGTTCAGTAGGAATTAAATTCGGACATCGAAGATGGCTAAACAGCGTAGCAGATGTTCAGAAGGAAGGGGAAAGGGGCGACCGAAAAACCGCGAAAATGGTGCGCATGATGTTTTTCTCATCTGAAGTCAAAGGACCCCTATTTTACCCGCGAGCTACCTATAAAACTTGGATTAGTTGTTTTTGACAACTACTCAGAACATGTTACACAGATATTCAGTAGTTTTGCATGTTTATTGATGCTCACGTATTTTCTCCAACCCGTTTAATACGGACAACGGTTAATACGGAAAACGGACACTTTTGTGTGTTCCCAAGTCAGAAAATCTCATGTCGTCAATAACGCTTTATGGACACTGGTGACCACTGGCTATACCTTGCTGCGCACTTCCTATTTCCTTGTCACAATCATTTACTAACTGCATACAATGAATTACAATTCAAATAATTACAGATTTCTGGGGGTCAATACGATTTTACGATTTTATTTTACGATTTTTTAAATTTTATTTACGATTTTTAGCGTGACAAGTTTGATCTTGATAACGCAGTCTTTCTTCCCATTGACCCTTGTATGGTCTGAGCTCATTTTAAAATGCCTGCAACAAGCCACTACACCCGTCAACCGCAAAGAGGGATGGTTTGGTATACGACAGGAGAACCTTTTCTGGCAAAAATGGTATGTGGAAAGGTAAGGAAATGGAAATCGGGGAAGGGCCTCCCCGTAAAAAACTTCGTTGAGTACCCTCTGGGAATAAAATGCCTGCAACAAGCCACTCGAACCCTCAACTATTAGAGATGAATGGAATGGTATACGAAAGGAGTACCTTTTGTGCAAAAATGATACGCTAAACGTAAAAGGTAAGGAGTTAGACCTCAGGGCTGAGTTTCCCCGTATAAAGCTTCTCCTGGGGGAGTTTACGATAATTATTATATGACAGTTTGTGACTCGGGACACAGAGAAGTATTCGTTTTCCGTATTAACCAGGTTAACTTATGAGCGCTAAAATGTCTGAACTTTTTGTCTGTACAAACGAACCATTCGTTTTATACGGGTGTTCGTATCAAGCGAAATGGCGGGGTTCCACTGCATTTCATCAACAACTTTTTTTGCTGGAGGGCCTTCAGTGGATGGGGGTTTTCACAGTTTATAGTTTTTGTTATCCGAACAGCACCAATCATTTGTTTAAAAAATGCAACAGTTTTTACGAGTTAGGTCTCTAATAACCTTAAGTTTCCGGAGTGGAGAACAAGGCTGAAATAGAGTCCATCGGCCACGATACGAGATTCTAACAATTAAGCGATATCGACACTCTCTGCAACACAAATTGTATTCCGTTTTTGAGGCTTGACGACTGATTTTTTTGGCTTTTTTTGTGGCTCATAAACACAGTACTGACGTACCCCGAATGATCCCCTAGACTTTAACTGATCTATCCTCCTTAATTAAATTACTATGCATAGGTTTACTCACTTTTCTGTGAGCCGATTATAAACGTCTTGGCATGACTTGGCAACTGAAAAAAAAGAAGTAGATAACGTAATAATTTAATCAATAAAAAAAAAAGAAATAAAACCTATTTTATTAGAGAAAATACAAATTTTGGAAAACATGCCTGTCTAAACTCGGTTGCCATGGTGACATCAATGTTGACGCACACGTTCCCAGATAATCTTTAGGTAAAGCCGCTAAGTTTAGTGGTCCTAACTTGAACGGGGGCCCCTGTCTGAATATCAATTACCTTTTTCGCAAAATTCACCATAAAAACCTTCTTTGCAACGGCACTCAAACGAGTGATACTTGTAGTTCGCTACGCAGGTGCCTCCGTCCTGACATGGCGATGACATACATGGAGTCTGAAATAATTAAAAAAAGGGTAGATGTCAAATGCCACATAAAGGTAATTTTGTTTTGCGTAAAAGTGTTGATTGCGGAAGTAAGAAAAAAGGAGAAAGTGACATTCGACTGAATAACCCTGACGTGTTATCGTTCAGTAGTCACTTTTACGCCGACTCGTGTTCGCCACAGGTTATTAAAAATTAAAATCGCATAGACTGGGATATAAAAAGTATCTTACTTTAATAAACTCTATGCAAAGAATTTACCCCACCTTGATGGAAAAGTGATGAAAACTCTCGTTCCTTTTATACTCCTCAGGATTGCTGTACTTTTCTGAGGATAACAACTCACACCACAACTTTCCATCTGCTCCTTTGTAAGCTGCCAGGTTGAAGGACAAACAGGAAGGATTGCCGAGGCATTCAAAGGTGCAGTCAAGGCTGTCATACACTGTGAATGTTCCAACTTTAGGAACGTTTAAATAATGGTACTCTTCCTTTATAAAAACATCTTGACGAAGGCTGTGATGATACATGGTGGTGAATTCTGAAGAATCATTGATCAAAGAAAGAATGGTTTTGAAATTTACCCTTTTAGAATGCATGCAGGGTCTTGCGTATGAGATATCTCTTCATTTAGGGAGTTCCTGACTTTATGAATGGCTTTTAAAATTGAACGCGTTAAGTGAACTGGAATTGCAACAACTTAGCTGAAAGTAAAGCCTAGAGGTCAGGAGAAGAAAAACGGGGAATTATCATCTTCGTGAAATTGGAGATTTTTCTGACAATTCACTACAGGTGTTTAATTATGACTTTTAATGTCATGCCAAAACTGGGACAATTATGGCTCTTGGTCCCTAAGAATTCAAATCCAGGAAAATTTACAGGGTACATCAGAGTTTAACAAGTTGACCGAAACTAAATAAAGTATCGTGATAAAAACTTTACTTTATAAACGCGATAGAGTTTAAAAGAGCGCAAAACTAGTATTCGTTTTTGTCCTAGTTGTTTAAACTCTCTCCCCAACACAACTTTAGGAGCTGTCATACATTTCTCTAACATGCCGGCCACAATTTTCAGCGATTTTTAAAGTAATTAACCAAGCGAAACCGAAAAGAGCCATGTTACTTAGTGACAAAATGCTATCCGCGGGCATTGTTTAACATGCATATCGTTATGATGAGGAAAACATGTTTGCCTCCATCTTCCCTGAACTGGCCTCTTCATAGATTTCCCACTAATTCATACGAAGTAAAAAAGGTTATTTCCTTGAAATTTAACTCCACTGTCAATAAAGCGAAGAAAAACCAACCTTCCATTTGAGCAAAGACTGCATTGGGTATCGCAGGAAACAACGGAAGGAGCTGGAAGAAAGGTAAAGAGAACATCTCAGATTGGTGAAACCGTTCACGGTTGGCAAACTTCGTAAAATCAGTTGATGAACTTGACAAACACTGCCAGAAACAGCGTTTTGCAAAGTGATAGCCGTTCTAAAAACCATAAGTTTTTTAATGCAATATTAAATTTTTGTTATTTATGACTTTCTTTGTCCGGCATGTCGACGCTCAAGTCTGGCTGGGCCAATCAATGACAAGACTTGAAACCTCACTCTTCAATAAGGTTTTAGAGACTACGTGGGGTTTTTCGATCATTAATTAGCACTGTTAAGTTATCTTTAGTTTATACAGTCTTAAATATTTATTTAAGTACCTCTGTTGCATCAATAAAAAGGGAACCTTTCTATGAGAACTTCCCAAATGAGGAGAATCAACTGTCTATTAATTAAAACTGAAGTTTTTGAGACTTAGATACAATTGAAACCTTTCAGAATTGAATGAAACTCAAGACAAAATTCTTATCAGGATTTGCCTATATGTGGTTATTGTGTACAATGTAGTTATGCCTATCTGAGTGTCAACAAACTCTGTATTAACGCATTTATTAAAAGGAATCACCTGCTGTGGAATTTATGTTTTCAATCGGTCTGTGGCAAGAACCCAACATTAATTTCCTCACCACCTAAAAGAATGGGATGCGAGGTTTGGGTTAGTTCAAATTTCAAACTTAAGTTTGTTAGCAAACGTTCTAAAAATGTATCAAAGAAGAATGTTGGAGAGTTTTTTTGAGACCTGAAAATAGCACTGTGTTCAAATAGATTTTTTTTCCAGAGATTCTCGTAGTGATATGTATTTTCAGTTGAAAAAATTGTTTTTTTTGGTTATGAGCACTTTATTTCAAGTAGGTTGGATTAAGAAATGTCCTTTTTGGCAATATCAATTTTACCCATCATGGTTTAAGCCATCTTCTGGGCGAGATGTTTGTTTTTTAGGTACCAGCTGGCGTAACAAGCTTGCCTAGTAAGGGAGGGGTGGGGTGGTTAGTTGTGTAGGTGAATCAGAGAAACTCCCGTTTAGTTCCTGTGTCAACAAAAGGAGTCATTGACAATAAACAATGCTCATATTTAATTCATAGAGGATATTACATGGCCGCGCGGAGATACGAAATTTCTCTTCGAGTGTTGAACAATATTTGACGAGTGAGCGCAGCGAACGAGTGAAATATTTTTTCAACACGAGAAGAGAAATTTCGTATCTCCAAGCGGCCATGTAATGTTCTATTCATTATATAAACACCAATGAAATACCAAACTATTTCACTTTAACAGTTTTTTGGTGTGAAAGGCGCCATTAATTATGTAGCCATAGCAACGGTTATCTTTTCACAAGTGAAGATAGCATGTTATTTTCACGTGTGAAGATATCATGTTTTCGCGCGAAAGATCACCTGGTATTTCATTGGTGTTTATATGATAAAACGGTT